GGTGATAGTGAAAAGGATAGACTATCTGGTTTTGGTTTTACTTTGTTTTTGATTTATGTTAAGTTTGGCTTTTTTTTTTTTTTTTTTTTTTTTTTTTAATTTATAGCATTCAGGTTCAGATAAATGGATAAGCTGTTAGGAAAAACAATCCTATGTGGTTAGATTATATAAAAAAAATATATCCAGGTCCCCAGGAACTGCTCTTAATTATTTTTAGGATTCCTTGAAGGATGGAGTAGTTAACATTGTTATTTTTTACTCCTTCTAAAAAATTAATAGCCTTTCTGTACAACATGCAGACTACCTCATTTCAGGAAAACAGCAAGACTCCTGTGCTTGTAATGTTGGACTGTAAGTATATATATGCTGATTGTATTCCACAAGCTGTTCTTCCTCCTTGATTCCTGTGCTTGTTTACTCCTCCCTGAACCTCAGAAGGTTCTGAGGCAGCCACAGAGGTTTGACTACTGCATCTGGGACTGCACGCTTGGAGGTCTGCAGCATGAAAAGTGGTGAAGGTTGCCCTTTGGCCATTTGGAAGATTTATTGGACACTGTAGACCCAGCCATTGAAGTAGTGCTGGTGAGCAAGATAGGAGAGAGATCTATAAAATACCTGCTAGTGAGATATTAGGTTTTATTCCTACGTATTACAAGTTTGTAACTTGGTAGTATTTTCAGTAATATATTTTAATTATTGAAACACGAATATTTATTGAAGCTAAATTGCATGGCCTATGCAAAGCAGGATGACTGAAGCTTGAAATTATGTGGATGCTCCTCAGCAGTGAAGGGGAGACTAAAAAAACTTTCACCGTTACAACTTCCAGCCAGATGTTTCAGCCTTTTTAATAACTTTAATCAAAGTATGTGAAAGAAGCAGTTCAGTCTTGAAAAAATCAAATTTGAAATTTTTATCCAACACTCAAAGCTAGATATTAATTATGCCAAAAGAAAATTAAAATAAAGCCGGTTTGAGATGACAATGAGATAAAAACATTCCTCAGAAACTTCTAAGATGTAAAAAGGAACATTTTCATTGATGTCAGGTACTCAGATCATTAAGCCAAATTTTCAGACATGGCCACCTAAAATGAGTACGTATGCTCTAATTTATCTCAGTACACCTCACTCAACTTCTGTATTTCCTGTTAGGATTTAATGTCCTGGTTGCAGTAAGATGGGAAATGTCCTAGAAACTTTAAATGTCTTGTGCTCCAAGGAGGATGCAGTGGGAAATAATAGATATTAAGTGTACATGATAAAGAAATGGGAAAAAAAAATAAAATCAAGATGATGAGCAGATGTGTTATTACTGCTTGTTGATTTAAAAAAAAATAAAATGTTAACCGCAATGTATTCTTTTACCCTTATCCTCTCTTCCCAGCTTGATTTTTAGAATTTGCTGTCTTCACACTAAACAAGCTACTAACAATTTACAGTTTCTGACTTTAATTTATCTACTTCCCTAATTCTGCCTCTGCAAATAACCAATTCATTTATGGACAGACTCAGTTAAGATCTTCTAAGAATACTGAAAATACAGATTTTGCTTCAGAAAGCCAACATTACAGAGATGGGGAGAAAGCACAATTATTTTACCTGCTCTCAGTGTTGATGATTAGCCAAAAACAACTTTTCCAGCCTTCTGGAATTTGTCTTAGATATTTTTCCTTCCAGGAATTTCATTTTCAAATCAAGAATGTTGCTCAAATCTGTTTGGTTTTTTTTACATCTTTGGGATGGAAAATTCTAATGCAGGGACATAACTCAATTTGCATTTGGGTTCTTGAGATCAGCTGAAATATTCTGCTCTTGCAACTGTTACAACCACTATGAATTATTATTAAAAAGTTGTAGAAGAATACTGAAGTAAAGTCTTTCCAAAATAATTTATTTAAGCACATTCACTTGTATATTTTCTTCCTTACTGCTTCCCTCTGTTACACCACAGTCAACTCTGAAGTCATAAATATCTGATTAGATTTGTCCTTGTGCTCTTGCTTAATACAATCAAGAGTAGCTGCCTGAGTGACCGCATATTTTCTGTGCTGTGAGTTTCATCGTCTCAGCATACTAGTTTCCACTATGCTAGTTGGAATTTGGGATAGTGCCATTAATAAAAGGACTCCATTTCACAGAATTGTAGAATTATTGAGGTTGGAAAAAACCACTAAGATCATGTAGTCCAAGCATTCACCTACCACCAATATTGTCCACCAATCCATGTATTTCTTGTAGTGAGGGGCCCAAAACTGAACACCCTACTTGAGGTGCAAGTGAGTACAGGGGGATGATCACCTCCCTGGTCCTGCTGGTCCTGCTTGCTACACTATTTCTGATACACATTAGGATGTCATTGGCCTTCTTGGCCAACCTGGACACACTGCTGGTCATGTTCAGCTGAGTGTCACACAGATCATAGAATCATAGAATCTATAGAGTTGGAAGAGACCTTTAGAGGTCATCTAGTCCAAATCCCAACACCAGTAGTGTAGTCAACCAGCAACAGTAGTGTAAGAGAAGCAGAAAAGTTTTAAAAGATTTCTGAGTGCAAAATCACTGTAACCATAAAAAGGAGGGGAATTCCAGAGTGTCACCTTCCAAAGTGCTGCTGTGGTTAAGTGACCATACAGTCAAAATTCTTTTACTTTTAATATACAATGGGAAGCACTGCATGATTTGACCCAATTTACTAAAATTTTTACTGAAATCTTTGATTTAGAAGCCACATTTACCAAGCAGAGAGGCACTTTAGGGAGAGCCCTAGAGTAAGGTGAATGTATAGGCACATATTAATACAATATTCTCACCTCAGGAGATCTCCAGCGTATCAGGAGCTGCAGCTGACTGTGGCTGCATGCCCTCAACTTGGCTTCCTATCATAGCTGAGTGTCAGAAAAGTCTATTCAACAATCATATTTGTGATCAAAACAGAACTAAATATAATGTATTTATTCTTGTGGGAGGTGCAAATTGTCTCTGATGACAGAAAGAGAGTGAGAACCATTATTATTCTGTGCAGTTCCATGCATCTCAGAGGAGGCTCTTCTGCACATTCTTTCTTATTTTGGAAAGATAATGGCAGGACTGATCAGAGCAGTATGAACTAGATGGGAGACAGGACATATTAGAGACAGATAAACTGTCACACCTAGGATCATATTAGGATGTAATCCTGCTACAGAATCACAAGTTCTTATGTGATTAAAAAGAAAACACTTTTCACTTAAAAAATAGAAAACACTCTTCAGTAGGGAACCTGCTTTGGCAGGAGGGTTGGACTCGATGATCTCTGAAGGTCCCTTCCAACCCCTATGATACTGTGATTCTGTGATTCACCAAAATATACCAGTGAGAGATAAATCTTTGAATAGTGATGTAGATAATCTTACCATTTCAAGAATAGGACAGCATGCATTATGGTACATTTATTAGGCATAGATATAATGGTGAAATAGAGGACTTTTCAGGGCCTCAGTTTTTATCTCTATCTGTTCCAGACATGAGGCTGATATCTAATGATATTCCAAATAAGTACGGCAATCTACAAATGCAAGATTGCAGGGCTATAAGATTTTGACTCCTAAAGAGATTTTCTGCACTTACAGTCCCATGTAGTTTTTGGGATATGTTATAAACTGTACAGCTGTAACAGAAAGACAAGCTTTCGTGTACTCCTGAATTACATTTCTTGTACTACTGAAAAAAAAATGGATGATGCTTAGTCTGTTTAAATAAAGGAAAAATAAATTTTAAAGATGATTTCTGTTCAACTTAAATCGCAGCGAATGAACTTTGAGTTTGATCAAAAAATCTGGGAAATTATTTTGTTCGGGTAATTGCAATGGAAGACACTGAGATCTACAATACTTATTTATATCCTCTATTTTGGGTAATAAAATAAATGTCTTATGTTTCATAATTTTATACATAGTTATACTTTTTTATATTTTATATTTTATACTATAGCATCCAATGCATTATCTTCCTTTTCATGTTTTAAAGTGTTGAAGTTTTTAGTAAGAGATGTGAATGACAAATAGTATCTGAGAAGATTTAAGTTAAAAGTATTCTTAAAAGCTGAAAATATAAACTCATCTACATGATAACTAACACTTTTTTTAAAATTTATTAAGCCATTCACCAACTACTATGTAGCAGAATTAAAGGAAGTATCTAACCTTTATGGTTTCAGAAAAGGTGTTCTTTAGAAAAACTGTTGTTTTCTGAACTGATATCCTAAAACAATAACTGAGCAGATGTGAGCCAGTTTCATTTAGTGGAATGCTAATTCTGAAGTCTGTTGACAGCGCAGTTTACATAGGTAACAATATCAAGATGATAGCTTTAACAAATATATGCCTTACAGCAGAGTATCTTCTACTTGTAGATTATCATATTTTTTAGAAGACTCCCCTCATACATAGCTAATTTGCTGTAGTGAGGTGCAATAATCTGGCAGTGTACATTAAAACTGAATGAGAAAATACATAAGGGCACTATGGAAATGGAAGCAGAATGTTCCAGATTCTGATAGGAAATAAAAAAATGCAGAGTGTGTTTAAGTAGTATGGTCTAGAGTCTAGTCTGTCAAGCATCAGTGAATAGGGCTCATTGGAGTTCTGTAAAATAAAAAAGGAGTTAAGACAAAAAAGTAAAATCTTTAAGTTTTAGAGCTTGAAATTCTGTGAGAAGACAAAGACTGGAGATACAATATGCAAGCAGAAGTGATAGTTCTAACCTTCACTGAAGTCACTGAAAGTCTTTCAATCATTAGAGTGACTTTGCATCTAATCTATTTCAAGACTACATAACAGTAATAGTAAGATAATGTTTAATATTAATACCTTTCTTTTTCTTTTTTTCTTTTTTTTTTTTTTAAAAAAAGAAGGCCATAAAGAGCCTTAAGCCACAGTCTTAGAATAGTCTTCCAAAGGACTTAATCTTCCCTATTAAACATGTTATAGTATTAATTTTTTTTCTTCTTTTATTTAACAGGCAGGCCAGATCCAGCTGATAGCTGTTATGAGGACTTTGCTGACTTCAGAAAGCTGAGCATAACATCAACAGAGTTCAATGAAAGGAAATAATATCACTCCAAGCAACTTGTACACAGACAGCTTTCAGTAGCTTTAAATTAACTGGTTGCTCAACTACAAGGACACAGCTATTGTTTCTTTCGGCACACATGAAGGAAAGCAACAAGATTTGTAACCCTGGCTAATAGGACTGTGGCTTTCTTATCAAAAGTAGGAGGTGGGCCAACTGTAAAATGATTATTTTATACTTAGGCTGAAGGACTTTATCTCTGCTTGAACACTGGACATAAACTGAAGCCAGTTTTAATGATCTGAGATTTTGCTACTTGTCCTTTATTATTGTTATTAGCTCTTTAACACTTTGATACTTTATTTCTTTAAATTGGAAATGGGTTCCTGTACTAGAATGTGGCCCTCAGACTGGGCTGTTCTCATGAAATCATGGCTTATCTTTTCCCTGGGGCTCTACATGCAGGTCTCCAAAACTTTGGCCTGTCCAAAAGTGTGCCGCTGTGACCGAAACTTTGTCTACTGTAATGAGCGAAGCTTGACCTCAGTGCCTCTTGGGATACCAGAGGGTGTAACCGTCCTCTACCTCCATAATAACCAAATAAATAATGCTGGATTTCCTGCAGAATTGCACAATGTCCAGTCTGTGCACACAGTCTATCTTTATGGCAACCAATTGGATGAATTCCCAATGAACCTGCCCAAAAATGTCAGGGTTCTCCACTTGCAGGAAAACAACATTCAGACCATTTCTCGGGCTGCACTTGCTCAGCTCTTAAAGCTGGAAGAACTGCACCTGGATGACAACTCCATCTCCACTGTTGGAGTTGAGGATGGGGCGTTCCGGGAAGCCATCAGCCTCAAGCTTCTGTTCTTGTCCAAGAATCACTTAAGCAGTGTACCAGTAGGCCTTCCAGTGGACTTACAAGAACTTCGAGTAGATGAAAACCGAATTGCTGTCATTTCGGACTTGGCCTTCCAGAATCTTACAGGTTTGGAACGTCTGATTCTGGATGGCAATCTGCTTACTAATAAAGGCATAGCTGAAGGCACTTTTAGCCACCTCTCCAAGCTCAAGGAATTCTCTATAGTGCGTAATTCACTGACCCATCCTCCTTCTGATCTTCCAGGTACACATCTGCTAAGGCTCTACTTGCAAGACAACCAGATAACCCATATACCACTTACAGCCTTCTCAAATCTTCACAAACTGGAGCGTCTTGATATTTCCAACAATCAGCTTCGTATGTTGGTAAAGGGTGTCTTTGATGATCTCCACAACCTGAGGCAACTCACTGTAAGGAATAATCCCTGGTTGTGTGACTGCAGTATTAAGTGGGTCACTGAATGGCTCAAGTTTATTCCCTCTTCCATCAATGTACGGGGTTTTATGTGCCAGGGACCAGAGCAGGTCCGAGGTATGGCAGTCAGGGAGCTTAATATGAATATGCTGTCATGCCCCACCACCACCCCGGGTATGTCACTTATCATCACCCCAGTCCCAGCTACAGCCAAGCCAACTACATTAGTTCCCTCCTCATCAGTTCCTCCCCCAAGTACTAAGTATAGTCCTCTGACTCCTATCATAGTCACACTTCCCACTGTGCCTGACAGGGAAGACAGAGAAAGGGTAACACCTCCTATATCTGAGCGAATTCAACTCTCTATCCATTTTGTGAATGATACTTGCATCCAAGTTAACTGGATATCTCTTTTTACTGTGATGGCATATAAACTCACATGGGTTAAAATGGGCCATAGTCTGGTAGGAGGAATTGTTCAGGAACGAATAGTTAGTGGTGAGAAACAACACTTAAGCTTGGTAAATCTGGAGCCCAAATCCACCTATCGGATTTGCTTGGTTCCTCTGGATGCTTATAATAATTACCGAACTGGAGAAGACACTGTCTGTTCAGAAGCCACAACAAAGGCTTCCTTTTCAAACAATGGCAGCAACATTCCCTCCAGCCATGAGCAGACAACTTCTCAGAACCTGGGCTCCCCATTTCTGCTTGCAGGTTTAATTGGGGGTGCAGTGATATTTGTGCTCGTGGTCCTGCTCAGCATTTTTTGCTGGCACATGCACAAAAAAGGGCGTTACACCTCCCAGAAGTGGAAATACAATCGAGGCCGTCGGAAAGATGACTACTGTGAGGCAGGGACCAAGAAGGACAACTCCATCCTGGAAATGACGGAAACCAGCTTCCAGATTGTGTCCTTAAATAATGATCAGCTCCTTAAAGGAGATTTCAGACTGCAGCCCATTTATACCCCAAATGGGGGCATTAACTACACAGACTGCCACATCCCTAACAACATACGATACTGCAATAGCAATGTCTCAGACCTGGAGCACTGTCATACGTGATAGTGAGGGGAGATGGGGGTGTCAAGGATAAAGAGAAAAAAACTCTGGAGAAAGTAACCCTCACAACAATGAAAAAATTACATTTGATAAATGTTACACAGATGCATTTATGCATTTGAATACTCTGTAATTTATACGGTGTACTATATAATGGGATTTAAAAAGTGCTATCTTTTCTATTTCAAGTCAATTGCAAATGGTTTTGTAACTCTTTGCTTTTTAAATCTTAAAAAAAATATTGCTAAGTACTGTACAGGGTTGTACAATAAGAACCCAGTGTCATGGCAAAGGAAAGAATGATTCATTCTTCAAACATTAACCACTTTGCTGTCGAAGCTGTCTGAGGGATGTAAGTTCCTAGGTGTCCTGTAATACAGGAAAATAAGTGCATATTAAAGCAGGGTTACTAGGAACAGCCAAAAGCAATTCAGATAAAATGGGTAAAACCCATTTGGCTCAAATCCAGCAGTTGTTGTTGCGTTTCAAACAATTTGAAATATTTCCGTTCCCCTTTGTCAGTTATATATTTCCTACCTCCAACTTAAAGCTGGAGTTCTGACTGCTACCAAAAGGCTACTTGTTATTTGATTAGATTTCCCTAGTATACTTGGAAAGGTAGACAGAACTCAGTGTCAAACTTGAAGTGACCTTGATTTCTATTTGCAAAAGCTATTTCGAAAATGTCCCCCAATGCCATGCATTTTTATGTTACAAATGGTTCCTGCCTTTCATTATGATTAAGAAGCTTCACGACTTCTTTAACCCTTCTCAGTGGGAGATGAAGGTTGTCAGCATGTAAGAGATACATGTAAGAGAGTTGTCATTAGATTACACCTCTCATTAATAGAGCAGTATTTGTTGACACAGCATGTTCAGGTAAAACCTGAACAAGGGAAATTCTAAGTGCTCCCAACTCTTTGGTATTCATGTAGAATTTACAGTCTAAAAGTGGAAATTGCTGAGAACATGTTGCAAAACATAATGTCAATGGAAAGATTGCCATTGACTTTTATGGTTCAAGCTCTGTGTGATTTTGCAGTTTGAGTTACAATCAGTATGAAGTAAGAAAAAGATAAAAACAATCGACAAAAAGAAAAATAATCATGAAAGATCTTTCTAACTTTTTAAAAATTCATTACTGAAGACCTCTGGGCCTATTGTGAACTGAAATATGTACAGCAGGGAAAATCATGAATAAATTCAGGGTTGGTTTTTTTTTCCCCATTCAGGTGAACTGAGATAGATATTAATTGAGAAATTTTGAGAGCACAAGTACACTGCTTCTCCAAATTACCCTTCTTGTATCTTAAGCTTTTAAAATTTTCCACAAAGATCTGTATTTGAAAATCAGCAGGTGGACTTGGAATTTGTTCCTTAGTTCCCTCAAATTCTTTACCTGGAATCACTTCTGAGTGATGCATTATGTGAAGCATCAAGCTTGTATGAAAATTATGATGCTGCTCTCAAAATTAGACTATGTTTCAACAGCTCCGACTAACTCCACTGACTCTATGACTGCCAAGAGCTCTGGATTTTTTGCCAACCCACTGGTAGAATTTTTCCTTTCCTTTCCTTTCCTTTCCTTTCCTTTCCTTTCCTTTCCTTTCCTTTCCTTTCCTTTCCTTGCCTTTCCTTGCCTTGCCTTGCCTTGCCTTGCCTTGCCTTGCCTTGCCTTGCCTTGCCTTGCCTTGCCCTTGCCCTTGCCCTTGCCCTTGCCCTTGCCCTTTTCTCTTTCCTGTTCCTTTTTTTTTTTTTTTAATGTAACTTAATTTCTCCTGAGCTTGGGGACAAGGATAAATTCACAGCTAGGAGAAGAAAGAAGTAATTTTTTTAAAATTTTTTGTTTAATGGAGTAGGGATCAAAAGAGAATTTTTTTTTGCAGTGACTATCTAGGGACAAAGAAGTGGATCAGAAGTAAAAGCTGGAGCACTTTTGCTGTGCAGTGCTTAGACTTTTAATTTTATGAGGCTGTTTATGTTGGGAGAGAGGGTTTTAATCCTTTCCTTTGCTCATTTCAGTCAGTCTGTTCTTAAAACCCAGCAGTCTATGAGTGTGCATTTTCTCAAATTCAAATTGGATGATAACATTCATTTTCTGCAAATGAAAAATGAATCCAGTTATGATCGATGGCAAAGTACAATCATTATATAAGGAACTGCATCCTCAACCTCACACCTTTTATAACTGCAGGTTGAAATTCCACTCTATATTCTGTTTATTTGCTATTTTCTCCAGCTATAACAGGTATTTTAGGCAACCTGTGTGCCTACTGTAATAGTAAAGTCACTGAAATTTTGCTGAATAAAAGGCTGCCATATGATTTCAAATGGTGTAATTCTAGATAGAAATGTCTATGCAAAGTCTTTTCTCTATGACCTATTTGCTCAAGATTATGATGAGAAGGTTGATACATTTGGTTTGTTTAATATGTTTTGGCTGCTGAAGCCCAAAAAACAAACTGTTGTGCTTCTGCACGCTTCCATTGCTGGACACATTGCCATGATGGACACATAAGAGTTTCAGATTAAGTAGACTGGGATTCTTACTGGGTGTGGATGTAGCATATAATTTCACTGAAATAACAAGCTGTAAGTTTGATTTCAAAAGGTATCTTTTGAATGTATGCTCGTGCTAGCCTTTCATACTTTGATGACTGATGCTAGAGGAATCTTTATCCTCCTTTTTGAACATCTTCTGTTGTAGGCCTCAGGATACTACAGTTTTAGGATGAGCTAGGCACCTTACTTGTAGCAAATTTCTTATTCAGGGAATTCAGCTTTCCTCTAAGTGAAAGATCACAGGTTCAAAATGAAGACAACAAATGTGGTTACTGTTCTAATAAGATAGAAATTGAAGACATTCATAAAATGTGTGGTTTGATCCCAGATGATGAAATGTATATATGTGTGCAGAGTATAACTGGCTTCCCTAGATAAAAAATCAAAGTAATATTAAAGATAGTGTAGTTTAAGCTTCTTTTCTGTTTGAAGATGAAAATATATAATGATAAGAGATACTGACAAATATTCTTTTCATTAAGTACACTTCAGAAAAAAATCAGAAAGCTGCTTACAACAAAATTCAAGGGTAGCCATGGGAGAACTACTTAAGCAAATTCACAGTTGTAGTCTTAATAATCTAAAAAGGCATACATTGAATTTGAAGAGTATTTCTTCCTATAGTAATTGCTTTCCAGATGCAGAACAATTCATGTATTTTAGCCTACAGCAGAGTTGGGGACTTTTCAAAGTGTAAGCCACACAGACAGACTTCATTTTTTATCATCTGGATAAGAATATTGAGGAGTTTTCATTAGATTTGGAAAAAAATAAAAAATAAAAAATCAGAGGTAAAAGAGGACAATGATCTTTTGGAGATACAAAGTTAAATATCAGTAACCTTTTTCCTTAGACTTGTGAAAATGGGGCCACCTTCACTTAGTAGAAATGTCTGACTACAGATGCTAGTTAAGGGAACTGTAGAACAGAAGTCCCAAATGTGTGCACATACAACTCATTAGAAACTCAAAAGTGATTAATCTTGACCTTTATTTGCAAGTGTTCATTGAATGTGGGGACAAATGAATGGTTACAGACATCATCTCACCTATCGTCCATTGTTAACTGCTAATAACTGACCTAAGTGTGCAGATAAGATTGATGAGTGGAATAAAAAGAAGTTTAAGTGAAATTATGTTAAACTGGTATCTCAACACAGCTTTGTTCAGTGCTACAGCTCCTTTTGAAGATTTATTTACAAATAGGTCCTTGTTTTCATAGATTCTGTCATTATAACAAATGTTCCTTGCATGTAGCTTGTTAGCAAAAAAAATCCCCCCAAAACAAACAAACAAACAAACAAAAAAAACCCACATCTGAAGAATGCATGAACTTTTGGTTAAAAAGTTTTTACTGGAAATTATTATTTAATTTCTTCATAAGAATATTTAGACATTGGTTTACTATTCACATTTTTTTCTGTAAGCCAATAAAGAAATACAGTGAGTGTGATGTTAAAAAAAAATTAAATAGCTTATGCTATTTTGTACTAGAGTAGTTCAACTATATTTTTTCTCTCAGTCATTTTCTCTTTTTAAGAGAGAAAATTTCTTCCTCTAAGAAAAGTATTGATTTTGAAAAGGAAAATAACTTTATGCTTATTATATTGTTACGAAGTTAAGGGTCTACATAAGGCACTTTATTGATGATACTGAAAGGAAAATTGCCTCAGATTTTGACAGTGAAGTGGTTAATTCCCATCTATAGTACTTCTTCACCATAAATTATAACATGGAGATATTAATTTTTTTTTCTTTAGAGCATGAAAATAATTGTTTTACTCAGTGGGAAAACAAACAAATGACAAAAAAAAAAAAAAAAAAAAAAAAAAAAAAAAAAAAAAAAAAGGAAAAAAGAAAAAAAAAAGATATGAGTGCCAAACTCAGGCATTACTGGCTTTAAGTCTCATTAAATAATGCCTGGTGCTCTCTTCCACAGAGATAATTCTAGGAAGCTGATATGACCCCTTCCCTGAAGTCTGCTGAACCAGGCACTCTCTATCTCAAATGATAATACAGTCGGTATCAAACTATTTGGCATTAAACTTAAGTAAAGCATAGAATGCCTTGCTCTTTAATAGAACACTGACTAGTATTTCTTCTGCAAAACCAGTCCAAAAGTGATCTGACAAGCTTTTATTATACGGGAACTATCTAGGACTTGTGCCCAATGACAACTGACTGCTGATCCTCTCAGAAACAAGCCAGTAAATAAATTGCTATGATCACTTGGTCCCAGATATCTGAAAATGATCTTTCAAAAAACTGATTTTAACTGAGACATGCATACATAATTCTGTTCTGTGTATGGTATATTTTCTGTCTTTAACATAGAAAATTAGATGATTTGAAGTCTGCATTATCTGTTTTCTGCAATATGCCATGTTGCACGCATTGTTAATTTCAAAACCTCGCTATACACTATATATTATCTTGTTGACATATTCAGTAAAAAGTTATTTAAAAAAAAATAACATCAATCCTGCTGTATTTATATGAACAAGTTGATTAAGAATGTGAACATCTGAGAGGGGAAATAGAAAAACAAAAAATCTGTTCTTTCATTCCTGGAATATTTTTTCAAATGTTTTACTGTATGCCCATGCTTTTCAGATGCTAAAGGATGAATTTTTTTATCTTCCATCTGTTAAGTTAAATCATTCGTTACTTCCATTTCTCAGGTTTAATGGTTATAGGGTTATCTCATTTTGATATGCATATAAGAAATTGGTGTAAAGATCAGATTGTAATCCAGTATTTC